TCCTCCTCCTCCTCCTCCTCCTCCAGGTACTCCCGTGCCCGGCCCTTGGCTAACTGGACCTGCTCCCTGGGGGGCGGGCGGGGTCCGCTCGCGGCGGTGGCGTCGGGGACAGAGCGGTGCTGTAGTCCTTGGGGTCGGTGTGGTCCTGGAGGCCCGGTAAGGACTCCCCAGGATGAGGTGTGCTGGGCCGGACCAGTCAGTAACCGGCCTCCCTCTTCCCCTCTCTGCCTTCAGGCACAGGTTTGCTGGCTGCTGTGCGCAGCCTCTCAGCCTTGCCGCGCGGGCTTTGGGGAGGCTGGAGTGACCTTGGAGGAGGGAGGCAGAGAAGTGCAGCCGGGCCAGGCGCTGGAGAAAGGTAAGACCACCCCCGCCTCTCCCGAGTCGGCCCGGGTGGATCCGCCGTGTAGGGGTCCGCGCGAGGGGTGGCCAGGCTGGTGCGGGAGACTTTGGGCACCGTCTCAGATCCCGGAGAGGCGCGGAAAGCACATCTCGGACTGTGCTGGGGTGAGTGGCTGACCAGGAAGGCTGGACCGCGTAGCACCCCCTGACGTCCAGCCCCTCCTTGCCCCGTAGTCACTGCTTGCTTGACCCCTCCGGATCGGGTGGCTGGGGCCCCTCACCCAGTCCCGACGCGGAAAGCTCTCTCCGGTTGGCCCCAGCGGAGGAATGCGCCGTGCACATTCCTCCCCCACCCCCCGCGCAGGTGTGGGGATGAGCGGTGCCCGGGGCAGCCCCCTTCGCCTCTCTCGGGCCCCCTTTGTGAACCGTGCTTTGTGTCTCCGACAGACAGACCGGGTCTGTTTCTCTTCTCCGCGCTCGTCTCCCCCTCCCCCCTTCTTCCCGGGCAGCTGGAATGCACTCTTAACCCTGCCCTTCCCGGAGGGCCTGCGCCCCTGCTGCCTGCGAGCGGCTTGGCACACCTGGGCTGGGGACATCTCGCTTCTTGACAGTGGGACTTTAGATCACTTGGGTGGCCGGTGGTGTCCCAAGCCATCAAGCCTTGGGCTATGAACAGAATGGATGAGAGAGAGATCAAAGCACATTTTTGATGTTCTAATTACTCATTTCCCCCCTCAAGTTCAAAAACTTGAGAGTGGGGGGACACTTTGGTGCAGAGAACCAGTGTGTCATGAGACCCAGGCAGCTGTGGCTGGGGTTGGGGTGGTGGTGGTCTATTTCTTTCCAAGTGGAGAGGGCAATGGTGGCTCCTACAAGGGGTCAAACCCAAGTTTTTAAACGGGTGTAATCCGGAATCCTTGGGTGGAGTTCCAGAAAACTTGTGTATGCATTTTCCTGGGGAGATCTGTGATTTACCTACCTTTTAAAACATTGCTACCTAGCACTTTTCTAATGCTCCATCAACAGGCCCCTTAGCCTTAGGTACAAGTGCCCACAGCTTGAAGGTGGGGTGTCAGTGCCTAGGGGACAGAATAACTCTCCTTTGTTTCTCCTCAAGAGGATTGAGGGCCTCAAGTCTGTGGAGGCTTTTTTTTTTTTTTTTAATTTTCCCAAATAACTGCAGATTAACTAAACAATTGACACTCAGGCTAGGCCACGCTTCTTAAACCCTTGGCTGTAGGGAGCCCAGTTAGAGGCATTAAAGAGGCCATGCCTCATAAACTTTAAATTCTTGCATATGGGTTTATTACTGGCGGGCTAACAAACTGCAACTGAGCCAACCTGTAAAAATGTTAACTCGGGCTGGGCCCCAAATCCAGTTCCGGCTCCCTGAGGAAGCTTTATTACTAACCAGACTGCCAAAACTATACCCCCACCTCCCTATTGTCAAGGTCCCTGCTGTATGTAGTCTGAGTGGGCTAATTTTGAATGTTGTCAATGCCTTATCTTACTGAAGCAAGAAATGCCAGATTAGCTGTCACTTCACTAGGCTTAGGTTGTTGGGGGGGAAGTGGCGATCAGGTTTTCGATTTCATGGTTGAGTTAGTGAGTGCTTCCTGGTGATGTCAGGCACTTTAAACCTTTTGAGGAAATTCAGTTTTCTCGGATGTCTGGCTTACGGTTGTGAAAATGCTGAGTTTGTGCCAGGAACACACCTGGGTTATAAAACAGAGTGAGTGGGTTAATCTGCTTGGCTCACCATGAGTCTCCCTGCAAACATGACTGGTTGTTAGAGTAAGCATTTGTGAAACGGTTTACTGCTTTGTTTTTTCAGTTAAAAGCAAGTTTCTGGCCCAGATGATGCCAATAAGTTGAGAGTCAGCAAGTGTGTAGCTATAGTCCTATCTACTCCAGAGGCTAAGGCAGGAGGACTGCTTGAGCCTAGGCATTTAGGACCAGCTTGAACAGTATGATGGGGGACCCCTTTTAAAAATAGACTTAAAAGTTCAAAATAAATAAATTGAAACTCCTACTAAACAAAAGATATAGACCTTTTTATGTTCCCTCTTGATCTTCATGGGCTGATTTTTTTTTTTTTTTTTAAAGGCAGGGTCTTGCTAGGTGCCAGGGTATCTTTAAACTCCTATGTAATGCAGGCTGGCCTCAAACTCATGGCAATCTTCCTGCCTCAGCCTCCTGAGTGCTGGGATTACAGGCGTGCACCACCACATCCAGCCTTGCTGATACATTTCTATCTTCCTCTTCAGCTTCCCATTTCCAAAACTTGGTGCCCAAGACTGGATCCAGCCTGGTTAAAAGGGTTATCCTGTGGGCATATGCAGACTCATTTTGCCAAGCCAAACAGCAGTTTCTATACTATTCAGAAACAATTGCCCCTGGGTTATGAATATTACGATGTCTATGAAGTTGAGCTCAAAGAAATGATCTGATTATAATTAATACCTTGTTTGTATGTGCATCTTCCTCCTCAAAACCCTTCCACTACTATGAGCTTGAGTTTGCTTTATCCTCCTAACATTCTCTTGAAGCAGGTAAGGTAAATATTAAACAATTTGAGCTCTTAATCTCAGAGGTGGAACTTCAGAAAGCCTGTAGCCCAACCCTGCCAGAAGTTTTAAAGGTAGAGAAACAGGCACAGCTTAACTGATTCAGCTCCCTAGGCTGAAGGGCTCAGGAACTTTGGAGATTCAGGAAGGGTAAGGGGTCACTGGTATGGACAGGTACATAATAGGATGCCCAGGAGGTGTTTGCTTGTGTGAATCAGGACAATCTTGTAAAGGTCAGCCCATTTTACAAAAGAAATAAGTGATTGTGACTCAATCAAAGTTGTTGTTGTGATCCGGTAGGATTTGAATGGACCTTCCTGGCTCCTAATTTCTCTTGACTTTTTTGTTTTCTTGGTTTTTTGGAACTGGGGATTGAACCTTGAGCTAGCTACATCTGAACATCTGAACCCCCTTTTTATGTTTTTTTTTTTTAACTTTTTGTTTTGGTTTGGGTGTTTTTATTTTATTTTATTTATTTATTCATTTATTTATTTTATTTATTTATTTATTTATTTTTGGTACCAGGCATCAAATTTAGGACCTTGCACCACTGAGCTAAATCCCTGGCCCTGTTTTATTTTTATTTTGAGACAGAGTCTTGCTAAACTGCCCAGGCTGGGCTCCAGTTCGTGGTCCTCCTGCCTCGGCCTTCCAGACTACTGGGATTACAGGTGTGTGCACCGTCACACCTGGCTTCCCTGAAATTGTTTACTACCAGAAATTAGAAGATGAATGGAAGGAAAAAGTAGGATGCTGGAGCCCTGAATCCTACAAACACCAATAACAATCTCAATCCTCAAGAATATTTTCCAGGACGTTCCCATAGAGCGAACTAGCTTGGGTATAGTCTCTACAGGACCTAATGAGGAACCCTGGACTAGACCCAGAATGAGGTTAATCTTAGGGAAGTGGAACGGGAATATTCCCCTGCTCCCACCCAGTAGCTGCGGCCTACATCTTTGAAGTGCGGTCCGGAAGCAAAGACAAAGGATGGAGGGAAGGAATTTGCATTGTATCAGTGAGTGATTAGGAATGAATGACCCAGGCTGTGGATATACTCAGTGTTAGAATACTTACTTAGCATGCACAAGGCCTTAGGCTCAATTCTCAGGACTGCCACAAAGAAAAGCCTACAGTGAGTGACCCGCCTATTAACAGCAAACACTGAGCCACTGAGAGGCGGTTTAAGGGCACTCAAAAAGACCCAGACTTCCCCATAGCCCCTTGGCAGATTCTAGGAACCCTTAGTCAACCTTGGGTAAGATTGAAGGCTAACCATTATCATGAGCTTTGGTAGAAAACATCAAAATTCAGTAATTAACCTGACTGTGTCTGAGTTAAATTCCAGATGGTTATGTTTGCTGGGTGTGTCCTGCATGCCTTTAGTAATCTCAGCTACTCTGGAGGCTGAAGGCTGAGATGCCAGGGTGGCAAGTTCAAGGTCAGCCGGTGCAATTTAACAAGAGCCTGTTCCAAAAAAAGGAAAGGGATGTAGCTCAGCAGTACTGTACCATGCATGAGGCCATGGATTCAATCCCCATCACTGCAAGCAAATAAAAATGGTTATGTGTATTTCTGCAGTTAATGTAAAAATCACCTTTCTATTTGGAGCCCCTCCTCTGGGCTAGGACTTTTATTTATATTTCATTCTTTTAGCAAACATGAATTTGGGATCTGTGTGTATCAAGCACTGTTCTGTAACTGAAGCAGTGAAGAAAGCAAGGTCCCTGCCCTTGGGAGCTTATAGTCTAAAGTTACTTATTTTTTGTGCTTACAGGTGTGCAACAACACCTGCAAATCAGGTGGTGATGACTTCTCCTTAGCTGTAAAATAAAGTCACTGGGACAAATCCTTGGTTAAGGCAGGACTGAAGTCCATGTTGGCTGCCTCCGTAGCCCAGGAGGATTCTGTAGTGCCCCATAAATCTGCCCCTAAGGAATGAATGTTGGAGAACTGGGATTTGAGCCCAGCTGGCTCCCTTCCTGGCTCAGCAGCAAGGCAGGGCAGGTTGCCGAAGACTCTGTCCTACGTCACTGCCAGTTGTAACTGGGGAGCAGGTCTCAAGCCTCTAGTCTCCCTTCCCACCTCCTCACAGGCCACTCCCAGTACAGGCTGTCCTTACCACCCTGCTGAGTAAGATGGCATTGCTTATGACAAGCACTGGGTACCCAGTGTTCGGGGTAAGAGAGAGAAGGGCCTTCTTGCCATCATCAGTTGAGGCCTTGGTCCTGAGGCTGAACAGTCTCCATTTGAAGTCTTGCTGTTATTGAGTAACATGTGTCTTGAAAAGCATTCAAGCGATAAGCTTGATGACAGTCTCAAACCTGAAAAGCCCTTGTGCATAGCACACAGATCAAGAAGCAACGTTACAGCTGGGCCCAGTGGCACACACTTGTAATGCTAGCACTCTAGGAAGCTGAGGCAGGATGACTCTGAGTTTGAGCCCACC